CTTGGAGCATTGTAGTAACTGCTCTGGAAAATTGTTAACTTCTTCATATATGGGTCAACTTGGGTCAATAGACCACGTTTCATATATTCTTTGAGTGTATGGTTTATTGTAGTACATATTTTTTTCAATTTCTTATTAGATTTTGCAATAATTTACCAGGTAGATGTTTCAAACTATAAGGAATATATAAGTGCATGGTGACTGGGAGCCCATACACTCTCCGTCCTTCTTTTTCCCTGGAATTTCCCTTGTTCCCTCATCATCCACCTGCTCCACGATGGGTATGTGTTTAGTACTTGGTGCCCAGCGAACTCCCTGACACTTTCATATTCCCCTGTGAGCTCCACCATTGCTGGAGCCCATGCCCTCCTCTGAAGTAGCTTGAGATACTCAAATGGACATACATGTGAGCAAAGTTGATGGAATCTTTTGCAAATATAGAATTCTAAAAAACATCCTTTGCTATTAATAATGACATAAGAGATACCTTTGAGATTTCTGGTGCTTTTCTTATCATAATCATATCTATAATTGTGGTACTGAAGATTAAACTCAGGACCTTATGCTTTCTGTGCAGGAACTTATGAAACTAAGCTATACCCCCAGCCCATAACCCTTTATATTTAACATGGTACTTCTTCTCAAAATCTTTATAATTTTCACCCAAATCTTAGTGTCCTGAAATTCCATGACCCTGTGTTTTAAGAAGGTACTTTTATTTCCTCCAGTGTACTGGATGTTTGGAGAGAATTTTGATAATGTCAAAGAGTGAAGATGTGGACTCCACAGTTCTTAACTCTTTCTGGACTGCATTTCTGGCTGTTGACTTGCAAGACGGAAGATGAAGAAAAGACCTCAGGGGCTATGAATGAAAGGAGTAGACCTTTGTCCAAGCATTCCTCTCTTCCCTGTACTTCTGAATTTCTCTGTCACTGCCAAGGGTTTTTGAGTACAAGGCTTGCCAGGCAGTTTTCTGAGGAGTGAGCATCTCTTCTCCAGTGCTGAAAAGAAGTCAATTGCTGAATGCAGAGGAGGAGGAGGGGGAGGAATGTCCTTCTCAGCCTGATTCTCCACCTTCGTTGGCCCCCCTTATCTCCAAAGAAGGATCTATAGGGAGATTGTAGGGTCACAGCTTGTTGTTCTTTCTTCACCTACCTTCCTCCTCTGACATTTAGATTATGACCCTGTCCTTTCCACTCAATTTTCTTCCTTAGTGCTCCTCTCTGTGCTTCAAATATTCCCTAAAGATGGGATGGCTGTTTACTGTTTCCATCTATCATGAAAATCCCAAGTGGCACCTACAAAAAAATTACCATCACTTCAAAAGAATCCTGAAATGGAATGAACATTAAATGTCTTATACGTGCTACAAAAATAAAACTTTTAAGATAACTTTCTTTTGTTTATCTTCTTGTGCCTGTGTGATACTGGGGGTTGAAGCCATGTCCTCACACAGCACGGTATTGCTCTGTTTCCCAAGCTAATCTTGAACAAGTGATCCTCTTGCTTAAGCCTACCACAATGCAAGGAATACAGATTGGGGTTCCTGCACCAGGCTTAAAAATCAGTTTCTCTAATAGCAGTGTTCATGAAAGAAAACCTCAAAGTCACTCACTATTCAGCCCCCACAAAAATTCTTCTTCTTTTTTTTAATTTTGGCAGAACTGGGGATTGAACTCAGGTCCTTGCGCTTGCCAGGGAAGCACTTATCCTACTGAGCCGTCTCCCCAGCCCCAAAAATTCTTGCTTTGTTAAACAAAAATTTTATGGAAATGAATTTGTAGGATAATAGCATTTCTATGGGAAGACTTTCTAACTAAATGGAAATCTTTATAATAAATCTTAAGTTTAAAATATTTATCAGATTTTCTATCATCTCAGGCAAGCTCTTTCAATTATGCTTCAGAACAGGATTTCCTTTCTCTATGCCAGACACAGAATTATGAGGATAAGGAAAGCTTCCTGACAATTTATGTGCTGTATGCTATGGCCTTTTCATAATAAAAATCAGTCTCATGTTAACTGGTGCTGACCATGTCTGCCCGAGCTCCTCTCC